CATCTTTCACGCACGTTTATTGACAGAATCCCCAGAGAGGTCATAATTAGAATGCAAAGCAACACCTGGAGACTGAAATGTAAAATCTTGTAGGCAGGACCAGATCTTTTCCATATAAGAAGACTTGTTTTAATTTGTCTCAGAAATGTGAGTTCTGGCTGTTCTAAGAACTGATACTCTGTTTAACAGCTGTAGACCTTGAAAATTCAGTTTATGTAACAAGACTGTCTGATCTGTGGCCGTTTGTGAACTGCTCAGAGAACAAGAACTTAACTAGTTGCTTTAGCCAGTTATATTGCTTTGGAATACAATAGATGTCATCTAGGATGGCAAGAGGTCTTTGCAATTCTGTGCAGAACAGAAAGGACTTCTTGCTAAAGAATTGAAAAACCCTCTTTCAACCACAAGAGGAGAATTTCAGCAAAGAGAGTCCTGAGAGAATAAACCCTAGCTTTTTATATGTAAAAGTTCATAGCTGCAAAAAACTTGACCCAGAATGTATATTCTAATGGGCCTTTATCTTATTAGCTGATATTTGAATACTAAATTTATGCTAGGATAGGATTCTGTTTGATATTAGGATACTAAACATTTAGGTATTTACCCTTAGGCATATCCACAGGCATCAGTGATGGGATTCAATTGCTTAAACATGGGTCTCCAGTGTCATTTTAAATACTTGGTTTCCAGTTACTTTTTCCAAAGAGCATGAGTCTTCCGCAGATCCTTTCCAAACTTTCCAGTACGTCTGGATTTCTCAGGTATTTTAGAGCATCTCAGATGAAATCAGATGCTTGTGGCTAAACAACTGAATCCCACCCTAAATCAGGAGAACATGCTAGCAGCACAAATGGATGTCAAAGTATTTTAGGTTAAGTTTGATCTGTGGGTCAGCTGTTGGCCCCCAGTGGATTAGGAAGCTATATTCTTGCAAATGAACTGGGTAAGAATTAACTTGATAGAGCTAATAGAGATCTAGTTTGGACCAGGCTGAAAGAAGACGTGTTTCTTTGAAGCACTGAGGCAATGTGCAAAAATAATGTAACATGTGATGACACTGCAAGCCACAAAGTACTTCCACTTGGTTTTGTATCCGTAGTACAGCTAAATAAAACCAGAAAAATTAGAAAGACAGCTTGTAGGCTTATTGTGTTTAGATTATGTCCGGTAGACTTTTAAATTTGTTCCATTTCGTCTGTAATGCATGTATTTGTTGTATTGTCATATGATTTCCGCAAGCCCAAGTTAATGATGTAGCAGATCAATAACTAACTTAACGATAGGAATCTAGTAAGGCCTGTATTCACCACACCAGTTTTAGTCACTAAGGCATCTATCTTAGGCACACAGTTGCACTAAGTCTTTCAATAGTCAGTAGAGACAGACATCTTCAGATGATAATTCAAATTATAAGTGATTCCACTTGCAGGAAGGTTGGGTTACCCTCTGAAGGACCTCTCTTTTTCTTATCATAGATTATGTAGGTATCTAGGAGTGGGCAAGCCTCCAAAGTCAGGTGGAATGACTGCTATATGTTTTACCATGGTTAGCAAACAAGAAGTTTCAATGAGATGTACAGGAAGTCTTCCTTCCTCTACTGTAAAGGCTGCACTAGTGGTGCTTCTTAGAAGCACAAACCGCAGCCTCATCTTGTGAAGGAGCATAGCCAAGTACACATTTAAAAGACATCCCAATCATCTTCCATGCCAATCTTCCAGCATTAGAGCTACTTTTGCTACAATTACCCTTGCTAACTATTTACGTTTTCGTGGCTGGGGGGCAATCTGTACTTTTCATCTTCACAATTTAGTTTTCTGTGTGACAAGCCTGACAATTCTGACACTGGAGCTGTTGCCAGCTCCCATGCAGGGGATAATCCTCCTCTGTAATTGGAACTGCTCAGTGTAACCAGCAGAGTAAGAAACCGCTGCTGCTGCAAGATCACCTGCTTGCTGAAGAAGCATTTCAGGCAGCCACGGGGGGCTGGGATCTAGCCTGTTTCACTTACTGAGTCATTACTCCTGCAGTAAATGTCTATCTTTCCTGTATACCCAAGGGAGAGAGATTCTTGTGAAGACCTTCAGAAGGAAAATTTGTCTCTTCTGACTTTTAGCTCCCATATAGAATGGTGCAGAAAGGATATCTTTTTATGTAAAAGAAAAATAATCTTTCTTTCATTAACTTTGATAAAACTATTTTTCCAGTAAGTGTCGGATCAGTTTCTAGGATGCTCCTTTTGTAGCTAAATTGCCAGGCTTAATGGAGACTCCGAGAGCCTGGTGTGCATCACAGAGAGTTTACACTGCACCCACTAAAATAAAAATAGAAGGATTTTTTTTCTATCTTTTAGTCAAAAATAATAAAAAATAAGAAAAGTACATAAATAATATAATAATATTTCAGATAGAAAAAATTAAGACATGTAAATAGTTGTAGACACTTGACCAAGGAGAATCAGACACATATCTGGCAATAGGAGAAGCGCACATAAATTAAAGACATTTTCTAATCTAAAGAAGAGATCTGTATGTGTGTGTGTGCACATACATGCATGCCTGTGCAACTGAATTTAAAGATTGGAAGCAACATTCTTTAAAGGGAGAGATCTGTATAATGAGCTCATTAGTAATAATCTCATTAGTTAAAACTCCTTTCCCATCCTGTCTAGCTTTGACCTGCATAAATTATGCAAGCTTCAAACAGCTTTCCTTGCTTTTTTGCTGAATAGATAAGCCTGCTGCAGAGCTAAAACACATGACCTTCAGAAGTTTTTTTCAGAACAAAACTAGTCCATCATAAAAACTACCGGCCAAAAAAAAAAAAAGAACTTATTTTCTGTCCAAATGGGAACAAATTCTGTTGCTTCCAGAACTGAAGTCAACTTGATCTGTAAAGCAACTTTCTAGATTAGAATAGGAAATTCTGCAAGCTGAAATTTTTCATTCTTAGTGATAAAACTTAAGGCTTTTGATTACCATTGTCTACCTGAAGTTACACGTTCTTGGCTTACTGTAGTCTTCAAAGTTGTTTATTTTCAGGTCCAACTTAAGGGATATTTGGTAAAACTTTCAAACTCTTATCTTAGAACATTTATAATACAATTTAGTACCATAAATGAAATCAGCACACTGTAGTTGTTGGAGACTAGACAAGACTCTTAAACCTGACTGAACAATATAACTAAGGAGGAATACCTGAATTTGATGATATTTCTGTATCTTATAATTATTAGGAAGCACCCTGGGGTTGCACTCACACAGGAACTGTAAATGTATTCTTTCCTATGCTTTTCTCAATAATGTAATAAGCTTCTATCCTGCTGTATGAGATGATGCTAAATCATATTGTCTACCAATAGGACCCCATGTCATGTATTTTTATTATCTTAGACTCTGATAGGTCCAGTCTTACATGAAGAGCCTCTTGGCTGGATAAATACCGAACAAAAAGGACTTCCCTTACCCAAAATAATACATAGGCTGATATAAGAAACTAGAGATCAGTCCATCTGGCTAGGGATCTGAGAGGATCAGAATGTAAAAACAATGCAAAACAATGTACTTATCAAACGGTTTAAATTTATGTAATGTGTAGTCCAGATTTTTGCCAGAAGTTACTCATAAAAATACCATTTCATCTATGAGTAAAAGACTGATGATGATTTGCAATTCTCAGATAGCTATTTTGCCATACTAGTGACTCTTCATAGCTTTCTCCAGATATGAACCTGAATTTGTGACAATTTGCTGTTTATTGGAACATAGAAACAGAAGGGAGCATCTGAGTCCTGTCCAATCCTTGTAATCAGACATTCATGGAATGAGTGCCGTGCTCAGAAAGGTTTTCTGAATGTCTGCTACTCACACTAGTATGAATTAAAAATGCTCCCAAGCTCTTTGAACCAAATTAAAGTAAGAAACACAAAAATCTCTAATGTACCACAAGAAGAAGGGACATCAAGTACTTACCCAGCATCTTACATCACTTCTATGGGAATTTGTTAAACTGAACCATCAAGATGCTGTTATGAAATAGACTTCATCCCACTCTACAAAAGGGGAACTAACTTCCCCTCATCCCCAGTACAAACCCTCTGATAGTAACTTGACTTGTGACAAACTATTTATTCTGTCTCCAAATCTGGCACTCAGTTTTAACCCTGAGCCCATGAACAAAAGACACCAATTGTGAAGTTTTACTCTTTCTAGGCTTAACAGCGCACTCCTCCCTACATCCTCTCAAACTGTAGCAATCTTCCATCCTTCAAAGGAAAGGAACCCATCTTGTTTATTCCTGATCTTGCTTATGGAATGCCAAGTTTTGTATGAAGGGGAGAAATATCCTCTCTGGTCTCCAGTAAAGTCTTCTCCAGTATTCAGTAGGAACACTGAAAAATGGGCTTATAAAGCAATATATTGTGAAATGTATTTATAGAGCAATTGTTCAAAAAGCTCCATTTATAGAGCAATTGTTCAAAAATCCATTTTACTTTATCCCTTGTGGCAGATGCCAACTTATAAACCTATGCTCAAGATGAAATAAATGAGATCAGATCAACATTTCAGGATCTGATTATGATCTTCAGCAAATTTAAAATATATATCTGTATTCAGGGAACCTTCAAAGTCTGAAGAACAGTAATCAGATACCACACATATTTTATTTTGCAACTAGACTTCTATATTTTTTCACTCTCAATTTTTTCTTCTCTTGTGCTATCTAGTCCTGACTTTTAGACTAGATAAGAACCTCCGTTTTGTGAATTTTAAACTTCAATCATAGAATCACAGAAAAAAAATAAGTTGGAAAGGACCTATGGGTGTTTTCTAGCACAACTTTCTGTTCAAAGCAAGGCTAATTTCAAAGTTAAATCAGGTTGCTTAGGGCCTGTTCCAAACAAATTTTGAAAATCTCCACTGATGGAGATTCCATAATGTCTTTGTGAAACCTGTTCTAATACTTATTACTCTCATTAAGGTTTTTTTTTTGGTCTTATTTCTAGATGGAATGCCTCTTGCTTCACCTGTGACCGTACAGGGATGCTATACAAGACTGTGTTGGGTGTTTGCTAAAGCCAGGGTGAGTAACATCCACTGCTCTTCCCATATAGAAAGCTAACAGGTTAGTTAGGCAAGGTTTTCCATTTATCAATGGAAAACCTGGACACTGCTTGTCTTTCATTTGATGGGAAATGACTTTCAGTAGAATTTGCTCCATAATCTTCCAATGGACTGAGATGAGACTGGCTATCCTGTAGTTTCCAAGATCCTCCATCTTAACGCTTTTTGAAGATGGGCATAACGTTTGCCTTGTTCCTATCTTTAAGAAATTATTCCTGATGGACTCTAAAAATCTCCTGAACTGCTTATACCTCACTGTACTGCTCTTTTAGTAGATGTTAGGTAGTGCATGTTTCTCATGAGAACCAGGGCCTGCGATCATAAGACTTCATCTACTTATTTTTATTTATCTTTTTATTTTTTAAGAAGCTTTATCCACTTCCTCTTTTCGATTAGGCTGTCTGTAGCAGATGCCACCACAATACCCTCCTTGTTTGCCTGCTCTCTGATCTTTATTTATAAGGTTTCAACAGGCCTGCCTGCAAAGCTCTGTGCATTCAAGCTGCTTCCTTGTAGAAAGCACAACCCCTTCCTCAGTAGATGGATTCTGTCCCTCCCTACACTCACATCTATCCTATCATGATGTCACTCCTATGACATCATAATCCTGGATAGCCCTTTCCAACCCTCAGAAGTTCCATCTTGGTTGAGGTCTGTGACACACCAGGGACGGCCATCCCAGCCAGTACAGGTTATTGCTTCCTGAAGCGTGTCACCACCATCATTGCCCTACCTCCAGAAACTGCATGGCTCAAACAGCACTCCTAATAGGACTACTAGCTAGATACGTCTTTTCCCAAATTTGAGGAGATCTAGAAACCTGGCATTACTCTGACAAATACCCTAAAAGAATTCATTTGGAAAGGTTTCTTAGAGAACAACTGACATATGCTACAGGACCAAACTGCATAAATATAGTGGTACAAGTCATCTTTAGACGTTAGCTTAGAAGAAAAGATCAGATTCACAGGCCCAATGTGTCAAGACTGTTGAACCTCTGCCAGAGGGCTACTGTATTTTCTTCTCAATTTCAGTAAGTTCCTTGCTCAAAGGCACAGGAAAGTATCTCCACCTTCTCGAGATCTCAGGCCCCAACTACTATGAAGGCAGAGGCTTCCTTCATGCATACAGCAGGTCTTTTCATAATTGGTAGCACCTAGGTAAAACACCAATCAGAAGAAGTAACAGTTGTAGAGTTAGACCTTCTGCTCTTATACACAGAACAGATACGATCTTACCATTCACACTTTTCTAAAGTCAGGTATGTACAACACTAGAGTACGCTGAACCAGCTGTGCTCCACAGAAAGATAGTTCTATTTCTGATAGCAATTTACCTCTCTGATACATTAGTGTGGCACCATATGCAGTCTAATTAGCTGGATCAATGGAGTATGTAATGTAGCTATACAGTTTCCAGTTCCAAAGCTTGCTGGTTCAGCTTTATGATCTAGTTCGAAGTTCTATGCTGTACTTCCCTTGAATGAACAGAGATGCTATGGATAATTTCTTCCTTCCTGCCGTCAGTAAATGTAGGACCTTGTCACTGTAGGAGTTTATCTACAATGACGTCAGCTTCCAAGATAAGAAATGCATGAAATATATAGGTCAGACAAAAGAAGTCAAGAGTGAAGCCGAAAACTATTTCAGTAACTAGAGCAGATGCACCTAGCTCTTCTTTGTGCTGGTTATCATGGTGCAGCTGTTTCAGCTGCAACACTTTGAATTCAGATGCCTTGTAGCAACCTCTGAATCCTAACAGTGGCTAGTCTAAGCTGATGTGATGTTAAATGCTAAAAATTGCTGCAGATGCTCCACAAGCATTCTTCTTGTGTGTCAATGCTTGTTTCCTGAAAGTACAGGGCAAATATTGTTGCTGTTAAACTGAGTTACCCCTCATAATGTTAGCACATCCTGAAAGGCATTTCAAGAATATCAAACCTATTTTTTCAAGTAGAATAGCTGTAGAAGTGGAGACAAGACTTCAAAGACAGGAACAAAAGAGATATCTGGTATCTCTGAAACCCATTCAGAAAAACATAGTTCTCTATTGATATTTTCATATTTTAACACCAACATTTTATGTTTATCATTCTTTTGTTTTCCTGAATTGCTTTCATTCAGTCTTAACTATGCTATTCTACAGTGTTTCAGGATGTTGGCCTGCTTATCCTGAGTTCAAAGACATGGTATGTGTCGCTCTTTCTGTACATAGCCGTATGCTACACTAACTAAGCTGGGAAAAGCTACTCAAATATTTGACAGTATGTTCTATCAATCACTTTGACAGGAAAATATCTTATGAACAGGTACTTCCAGTTTTTCTTTTGAAGACATAACAGAATGAATTCTGCTTAGGGCATGGCAATGGAAAATTCAAAACTATCTTTAATAAAAAATGAATCAGGTCAATTGGATTTTATTGGGTTTTTACAGAGATTTATGTGAAATAAATTGGAGACGTTTGCTTAAAACAAAGCTAAGTAAACTGGTAGTGTGAAAGTACTTCATGATGGCAGTCTTTCTATATACTCAGGTCTTGCTAAATGGGTGTTCTGAAATGGAAAATGGTTAACCTTATGGGTTAAGGTCTCTATAAGAAGGAGCAATATATGGGATTTCATTTAATAGCAGTCATTTTCCATGGTGACCTAAATGCTGAACTATGACCATAGAGATTTTATTTATTCCTGCTTCCGTCAATGTTAAAGAAACATAGATAGAAGGGGCCACAAAAGGTTGTGAACCGTTTCTAAAACATGTCACTTTATAAACTGAAACTCAGTAAAATTTAGAGAGCTCAATTAATTAAAAAATATATTGGATACAATTCTTGTTTTAGATGTAGCAGAATAAATAGAATGTAACTGCACTAAAATTAGCATACTAGAAGGTGCAAGGTATCAGTGAGATGGAATGAGTCTCAAAGAAAAAAAAAAATCAGTCACATTAAAAAGTCTCATTCAGTGTGCCTTTGATAGTTTTCTAATTCATCGAAGGGTTCAAGCTGCCTTTCCAACCACCGTCTTACACAGACTGGAATGGAAGAATGGCCCATGACGAACAAAAACAAAGGTTGTTTCCACCCATTATCCTGCCTCAGACAGCAGCCAATATTGAGGGAGTAGATAGGTATATAACACTGAAACAAAAAATGAAGTAACATGTCCTGCCCTCTGCATCTTTTGCTACGGTCATGTGTTCTGTATCTTTTTCTACTTGTTCTGCCTTTTTGGTTCCAGCCACCCTCGTATCAGTATGCTTATTCACAGAGCTGCTCAATAAAATATATCAAGGAAATTATACATATTAGATTGAACCCAAATCATTTCCCTGTGAATGACGATAACAAATTACTTCTACAATTCATATAAACATTTGACCCTCCACAACATACTGTGGCAATGAGTTCTCTCAAAGAGTTTTTACTCTTTGTTTAAAAAAGTTAGGAGGTGGTTGAACATGACATACAATGTTCAAAAAATTAATTATGGTAAAAATGAATAATTAGCCTCTATTCATGTTTTCTACGACATATGATCTTTCCACAGCTTGTGCTTACTTAAATGTAATTATCCTAACAGCTTAACTAGTTTTGTCAGGTATATTTTATACCTATTTGATTTTCCAAAGGAGGGAGAAGGAGAATATACAAAAGTAGCCATTGGACACTAACTCCGCTTATGTGATTGGCGTAATTACATATTTTAATAAAAATTTCTCTGAAGTAGTTAGTACTGAAAATTAAAACAGTATCTTAGCAGCACTCCAGACTGTTGCAGTGTTCTCGTATTAATTGCCATGAAAATTCCTCTACCTAAAACTCTGACATTCATTAGGTTAGTTTAAGTCATTTCAATGACTTATAATTAAGATAATATTCAAAGGCAAATTCATTTCTGACATCTGAAATTGAGGCGAAATAAGAACTAGCTCCAGAAGACAGAAACATTAGTGAACACACATCTACTCATCAAGATACTAAGAGGGCTAGGAATTCCCATAGTGTTACTTACATTGCAAGGAGGGATGCATCTTTGGAGAGAGAATATGATAAATTTTGCTTCTGTTCAATCCCTGGTGTTACACACTTTATATTTTAAATGTGATAGCAATAGGGATTCATTTTTAGATAACTGATTTTCTATGTGTGCTTTTATATATGTTGTGTAACTGCATCCAGAATTAATTAACCTAGCTGAGATTTCCTCCAGGTTTCTTCAGGTTAGCTGATTAAGAATCAGAATAGAGCAATCTGAACAAATCCCTATCTAGGGCATTATGAAGCATAATATATTTTTCATATCGACTACAAAACGTAAATCTTCAGAGGCTATAGTACCTTTCCTGAATAATAGAGAGAATATGTTAATTTAAGCTAGGACAAATGGGACAGAAACTTTTGAATTTCAATCCCCATAGACATGCAAAGATAGACAGTTTGTATCTTTCTTAATGCTTATCAGCTCCAAAGGTATGAGTAACTCCCAGATGACTAATCAATCTATTTCAACCACCTCTAATGTGATTGATTTTGCAGGTCTTAAAATTGTGAATTGTTTGCAGCCATACTGATTTTCATTAATCTGCTTATGTGCCTAAATTATACCATGAAGGTTCATTTCAAACACTTCTATCAATAATAATGTTTTGGTCACCTTTGTCACATAACATTATATCTGTTTGCTTTTGGAATAAGTGTAATTTGTAAGGAGAGGAAAAGCTTGATGAAAACACTTAGCTTGCTCAGACGGAAGAAAATGGGAGCAGCTGTAGAGATATGTTGAGGAAATATTGTAATTTTAGCCTTTTCTTTTCTTCTGGAACACCTGATTCAGTATTTCATCTCCTTGGAATCATGTCTTCAAATCATCATTGCTAGAAAGGTGTGATATAAGCTATAACTGAGGAAAGAATCTACACATCCAGTCTTATGTGGGTACACTGTGGTCACATTTGG